TGACCGCGCGGACCTTCGTGCAAAGCCTTGCGGCGCTGGGCCAAATCCCCAGCGTTGTGGGCGCCTGGCCCGATCGCAGGGCGTCTCCCAGACACCCGGCTGCTCCCCCATGTCTTCGATGCGCGGCCCCCGGGGGGTCTGGACCACTTCCCCGGCCGGGTGCTGCGAGAAGCGCCCCCGGCCCAAGGTGCCCCCCAAAAAAACCTAAGCGAGAATCGGGGGGAGCAGGGGGAGCAGGGGGAGGAGGGGGAGGAGGCGGAGGAGGAGGAGGAGGAGGAGAAGAGAGAGGGGGAGGAGGAGGAGGAGGAGGAGGAGGAGGAGGAGGAGGAGGAGAAGGAGGAGGAGAAAGAAGAGGAGGAGGAGGAGGAGGATGGGAAGGAAGAGGAGGGGGGACGAGAGAGAGAGAGAGAGAACCAAACAAACAAACAAAAAACCTGAGCGAGAGTCGCGAGGCGGAGCTCGGCGAGGCGAGGCGAAGCGAGGGAGGGGGGCAGCCGCCGAGGCCGGCGGGGGGGAGGCGAGCCCCCGCGGGCGGGGAAGCGCCCGGGGAGGGCCGGCGGGCCGGCTCCTGCGGGAGAGCACCCTGCAGGCTCCGGTTCCGGCGTGGGCCGCCGACGTGTGCGTCGGCTGTGGAAAAAAACGAACAACAAATACACACACAGGGGGGGGGGGGGGAAACAACACCAAGCAAAAACAAACAAACAAACAACCAAAAGCAACAAAAAGAAAACACACACACACACACACACACACCCACACACTGTGGAAAAAAAACTCTCACACACACACACACACACACACACACACACACTGCGAGAAAAAAAAACACACACTATGGGAAAACACACACACACGTGTGTGGTGTGTTTTGTGTGTTTTTTCCCCCCGGGCCAGGGGTGGGAGGCCCCGCCGACGGCCCAGCAGGAGAAGGGAGGGGGGCTGTTTCCGATGCCGGGGCGGCGTTGCCGAAACATGGACCTGGAATCGGCGACACATCGCCGATGGGTTCAAGGTTTCCGAGGCCTTCGGACGTGTTCGCTGGTTCCAGGCGGTCCTCCAGCCTCGGGACGCCTTCCAGCAGCCCCGCCCCGCCGAGGGAATGATCACGCCCCGAACGGCCGCCGGAGGCCGCCAGAGGCATGACCCGAAAACCACCAGGGGACTGGCCCGGAGGGGGGGGGGGGGGGGGGGCAAACATCGACCTGGAGTCGACGATGCATCGCCGATAGATCGGCCCCAGGCCCGCGAAGCCGCCCGCTCTGAGGCGGGGTGAGCTCTCAGGCCCTTGATCGGCGATCGATTGGCGATGAGGGGTCGAAGCATCCTCCCCTGAGCCTATTCCCCCTCAGTGATCCTCCTCGCTGGGTCTTCGGGTCATAGCTGGGCCCCCTGGCGGCCGTCTGGCACAATCCGAGCACCCACAGAGTGCTCCCAGCGGGGCGCAGCTCATAGAAGGCATCCCGCGGCTGAAAGCCGCCTGGAACCGACGAAAACTTCCGAAGACCTGGAACCTCGAAACTTCGCAAATGGTCGCAGACTTCAGGAAGCAACTCCTCTCATCCGACACCTCCACCGCGGCGCACGTTCCTAGGTACACACTCTGCTGGTGACCCCGCGCGCGCTTTCTGCAAGTGGCCCCGGCGAGAGGGGCTCACACAAAATGACCACGGACCAGTGGCGTGCAGCACTAAGAGTGGCTATCGAGATGCAACTGCTTGGACTTACGACGCGAAGGGCGAAGCGAGTGGCTTCAGTACGGCCTGGGTCGTGTGCAGCAGACCACAGAGCTGCGGCACAGAGGAAGCCCAGTGCGGCCATCTTCCTGGGCCTGCGTGGCGATGCTGCTCAGGCCTCGGAGGGGCCAGCGAAGATGCCGACCGTCTCGTTAAAGTAGATCTGGAAGGCGCTGTCGGGGGCCTTCTTGTTCATGTTTGAGCTCCACATGTGCTCCGCGGCGGTATCCCACTCATCCATCGGGAAGAGGCTCTTGAAGCGCTGGGTGTCCATAAGGAACTGGTGGCGGGTGACAATGCCGCCCCACTTTTCCCAGTTCATCTTGAACAACGCGATCCTGTTCGCCTCAGGGTCCTCCCAGCGCCCGTGGAAGGCCTCTCCGCGGAGCGGACGCTTCTGCGACAGCCACTGATCTTTGCTCCAGCCTTGCAGCATGCCCTTCACACGCTCGATGGGAGTGCTGCCGTGCACAGAGCCAGGAATCACTGCGAACTTGTTGTACGGGTTCTTCTGGGGCTCCAAATTAAACGTATTCATGACCGAGGCCATGTAGACCCGGCTGTCCGACCTCATGAGGGACACGGCCTTCTCGATGAAGTTGGGCGTGCTCCTGGAGAAGTTGCTCCTGTACAGGCGCCACTGAGCATCCATGTGGTACACGTACTGGCTCTTGGCCTGGAAGTTCTCGTCGAGCGCCATGGTGTTGATGTACATGTTGTCGTAGAAGCTGCCGTTCTTCTCCCCGTCCGCGATGGCGTAGTGCTCG